GGAATAATTTAAAGCAGCATTCTTCAGAACACTGGTTGTGGGGAAGTTAACAGGTATGCCACAAGAAAAGGTGGTATAGTCAAGTGGAAATGCTTCAGAAGAAGTTAAACAGGGTCCTCTTGCTTTCCTCTTAACCACAAAATTTCACAGGGCCTCTAAAATGCAAATATACATTAGGTCTCTCCGAGAGAGGACTAGAGAACATACCAGTTTCCAACTTAATTTGACTGTGCAACACTTTAGTCAAGGAGCATCTCTGTTTCACAGAGCTGGGGTCTATGGAACACACTTGGGTTGGGGGAGGGGCACCTATTTAAAAGCCAGGTCTCGGGGCCAGCCGAGTGTCACGTTGGTTGAGAGTTGGCTTGAGACGCCAGCTCTGAGCAGCAGGTTCGGATCCCACATGAGGCCAGTGACACTGCGCCCTCTGCAGCTGACATAATGAGAGACAGCTCGATCTGGAGCTAGGCTGCCATGGGTTGCCGGTGACGGCGTAGGCTGCAGTGGGGAGCTGACCAGCAGCTGATGTGAGCTTTCGTCAGCTGCTGGGAGCTGCCGTGAGCAGCCGTCCAATGGCCAGCAAACAACAACCTCACCCAGGAAGAGCGCAATGATAATACCAACGTGGGCCAGTGAAGCGACATCCTCCACAACTAGACTGAAGAACAAAAGAACAGCAACTTGTCTGTTCCCCTTCCCCAATTCCCCAACGCTGTTCCCCTCCCCCAATTCCCTAATAAAATCTTAAAAATAAATAAATAAATAAAAGCCAGATCTCCCTAAAAATTAGGAATGAGCTGGCTAACATCCGATGGGCAAGTAAGACACTCCACATCTGTCCATTCTGCAACCCCAGAGCACAACGATCTTGAAAACAAAAAGAATTCAACCTTATAACAAATGGTCAGGGATACGTCTTAGGGAAAATGGGACAAGGATAGAATATATTAAAAGCTTGATTAAATCTATGAAAATATACCAATATAGCACCATATCTAGCAGAAAGACCATTACATTTGGGTATTCCCCTAATGAGGGGGAGAGAGGGACTATCTTAGCAAACCCATTTAAATATATGGTATAGACAAGAAGTCTTTCCCAGCCAATAAACTGGGAGATGACATCCAATCATATGTAAAGTTGGAAATTAGTAGTACATGGCATAATAAAGTTACAAATTTCTTTTCAGCCTTGAAAACGCAAAACACACATTTGATATCTTCAGTTTGAGTGTAAATTAATATCTGGGGGGATTAGACACATTTTTAAGTAGTTTTTTTAAAAAGAAGAAATAAAAGGTCTAACAATAAAAAGTTAGAGTAATATTTCAGGTGAGTTTTCTATCAGTTGCAAATTTGTAGACACTAATGTAATCAAACACATACAGCTTACTATTCTGGCAGATCATAGGGGATGGGGTATGAGGAAGCCAGGGAAGATTAATGTTTATAGGTACAAAAAGTTCCACAGTTGGAGGGATACCAAAAATACCAAGCCACTGACTTTCTGCTTTTGAGCACTCCTTAACAATAAGGAAGTATGACCCTAGATGACAGAATAATCTAATTGTACTACTAACTCCTACCCCTAAATGGCAGAAGAAGAAATGAGAAGCGGTTGTGCTATTCTTAATTGGGAACTAAGATCTATTGAAACAATGTCAGTGTCAGCTCCCCTGTGGCTATGAAACACAACCTTTGCTTGTGTACTCATTACCCAACTTTGACCCACAAACTTGAATTCTGCACTATTAAATCTCATAGCAAAAATGGAATTCCATATCCTGCTTTTTAAACATCAGTAACCCTTGAACAAAAATTTCCATCCTGCCTTTCACCAAATGTTGCTTCTGACTCATCTGTTTCAAGGGTTAGCAAGAGTCCCACAATCACGAGAAAAAGAGAAACAATCATTTTTGAAGCACAGCATTCAGAAACAAAGCAATATCAAAGGAAACGGAGCTGCCCTCAACGACAAGGCCATTTCCTCACTTCCTATAAAGCAACACTCACTGACAAGATGAGAAAGAACCCGCACAAACATCACCTAGGGAGGCCTTCTCCTGAGCACCCTACTTGATCTGTAACATGCCCTCGCCCTGCACTCCTAACCTCCTGCTCGACTTTTTTTCTAAGCCCTTATCACGCAATACTGTAACTTACCTATTGATTATGTTTATTGTTTATTGTGAAACTTGCTTTGATAAGAGCAAAGATCTCTGCTGGGTTTTGTTTCTTTAACTGATAAACCCTGGTGCCTAGAATAGTTCATGGGACACAGATGCTGATCGCTAGATTTTTGTCAAAGGGATGGACAAACAATACTATCGCCATCTTGGGCCAACCAAGTTGGTTAAGAGTTGGCTTAAGAGCGCAAGCTCTGAGCAATAGGGCCGCCAGTTCGATTCCCACCATGGGCCAGTGATGCTGCGCTCCGAGGTGAGCTGTCGCTGAGCTGCCAACAGGTAGCAGGAAGTCTCAGCTGGTGTAACAACAAGATTGCCTATTCGATGGTGGTCTACATCCACCCGCAACTAAGACTGAACTCAGCACCTTGAGCTGAGCTGCCGATCGGATGGCTCAGTAGATAGAGCGTGCGCTCTTAACAACAAGGCTGCTGGTTCCACTCCTGCATGGGATAGTGGCTATGCCCACCCGCAACTAAGATTGAACACAGCACCTTGAGCTTAGAGACTACGAGCTGCCAACCGGAAATCAGATGACAACTGGTGCCCTCCACAACTAAGATTGAAGAACAACAACTTGGCTGGTCCCCTTCCCCAATTCCGCAACACTGTTCACCTCCCCAATTCCCCAACACTGTTCCCCTCCCCCAATTCCCCAATAAAATCTTAAAAAAAAAAATTCTATTGCCATCTTTGGATCCTAAAGTTCAAAATATAAGAAAAGGATTTCAGTCCCTTTCCTTTTTACCTAGAAAGCATGCTGAGATTCTCCCTACCCTAATCCTCAATCAAAAAAATTTTTTAGGAAAACTGGTATAAGCTAGCTTGAAAATGTGCCACGTTGATTAAATTAACAACGAAATATGAAATAAGATTTATTCCACCTAACTTGTCTTCAGAAAAAGAATGCATAGTCAACCTTAGTAAACATGCATCTTTATAAATGATTCTACTTCCTAAATGATTCCTTTTTCTGTATTTCCCTTGATTTAGCCACTGATCACTGTAACTAAACTATTCAATTTCCTTCACAAGTTAGGGCATTAAACCCACACTTGTCTGCTGATTACTGTACTGACTACATAATAAATATTAACAGCCTGCCTACCAAAGCAAAGATAAATGGTAAATATTGTAATTAAGAATCCTGGCCGGCCGAGTGGCGTGATGGTTAAGAGCTGGCTTGGGACACCAGAGGGCCCCGGTTCCGATCCCACATATGAGGGCCAGTGACACTGCCCTCTACAGCTAAGATGCTGAACAACAGCTCAGCCTGGAGCTGGGCTGCCCGTGAGTCACCGGCGACGGTGTAGGCTGCAGTCCCTGTGGCAGTGGGTTGCCATGGGCTACCGTATGTAGCCAGCAGCCAATGTGAGCGGCCAGCAGCCGCTGTGAGCGGCCGTCCAGAAGCCGGCGACTGATGTGCCTCGCCCGGGAGGAGCACAATGATGGTACCATCTTGGGTCAGTGAAGCAACGTCCTCCACAATTAGACTGAAGAACAAAAGGATAGCAACTTGTCTGTTCCCCTTCCCCCAATTCTCCAGCGCTGTTCCCATCCCCCCAATTCCCCAATAAAAATCTTTAAAAAAAAGAATCAGGCCCTCCCCTCTACCATGCTGAGATACCCAGCACTCTTCCTGTTTGACTCTTAATCCATCCTAAGTTTTAAAGTATAGTTGATTCGGATACCTACCGGAGAGAGGCAGGTACCATAAACAGAGGAAGGATCATCTATTTCTAGGCCTATAAATACAGGCCTGTAGTATCTTACCCCTTTTTCATTGCTTCGTGAACATTTTATAACATTTGTTATTTTAAATTTCCCAACTGGGGATCCAAACAAAAATGTGTTGGGGCCAGATATGGTCCATGCGCATCAGTTTGCAGCCTCTTGTTTGAAACCTCAGCTGGAAGATCACTGCCACCAGCACGCCCCACACCCCCAACCCCAGCTGCGTGAGATGCTCCTGTGGTATATTATGTTTAGCCGTCCCTGATTTCTCCAGACTCGTGTAAGTTCCTTGAAAGTGTCCATCTTCCCTGCAGGAAGTATCTTATTCATCTTTATATTCCCAACATTTAGCAGAGTGCCTGGCACACAGAAGCTCAAAAAAATGTCTCAATAAATGAAAATCTGAATAAGGCCACCTGGGCTCACACTTCTAGTTGTCACTCTGAACTCATCAGTCTGTTTCCTGTCATTTTACCTTAACCAACCAACTTTCAAGGAACCCTGTGATAAAAGTCACAGGTATTGATACCAAGTATCAGAATGAAAGAGACAAACCCATGCCTGAAGACCTAGAGTTTCTCTGTTACAAAGAATAAGCAGCCTTCAGCATATTGTGAAAATATACAAAAGGGGAAGGGATACAACAAAGTAAAACAGTTGTATAACATGTGCCTTGTTGGAGATGAGCAAGTATGTGAAAGAAAATTCAGTAAATTACTACCTGATTTCTCCATCATCCAAATTCCCAATGAGCTTCTTACAGATAATAGTTGTTAACTAAGGCATGTTAAAAAGTCTCTATTTTGTTCCTTAGCTAGAACTTGAAGAACAGAAAAACTCTGCCTATTCAACCAATAATGAAATCTCATACACACATTATACTTTTCCTAAAAACCAGTAAATACAAGATTTACCATTCAAGATACTATTTGGAAACAGATCCAAATGTGGAATTGCTCTCCAATGCAGGATCACATTGTAGCAAACCCTGGCTTCTCAGTAAGCCACAGAAATGTACCCTGTACTTTTACAATTCTTCCTTTTCTATTTTCTCATGATGAAAGCATTAAGGAAAACTTACAGCTGTGCAAAAGATGCACCGGCATTCCTGGAGTGTGGTCATCTTGTCCAAAGACTGTTCACACAGGCAGAGTTTGCAAGTGACGAGGGGAGCAAGGGGCAGGTCTCCAGGGGTTGGATTTTCAGCAGTCATGGTGAGACAATGCAGCCTATCCACTGAGTCCATCAGCCTGTCTTCGGCCTTCTTCACTCTCCTCAATCCCTATTGAAAGGTCCAAAGCACAGAAAATGTTATATCATTGATACAGCTATTGTTGACCAACGCATCTGGGCACCAACAGAGCGAATGCTCATCCTCAATGATCTCTAAGCATACAGTGAATGTGTTTCTGAGGACCATGGGGTAAAGGACTTGCAATCTTGGCAAGATGTTCCTGGAGTCCTGAAATTCAGTGACCTCCCTGTCCTCATATCATGGAAACTATGGGAATTAAATGACCACTACGAACAAACATTCCATTTAGGAGTCACACCACAGTAATCAATTCAATAGATCCAAAAAAATACTTAAAAATAGGATCACTAAAAAAGTTAAACGAAGAATCACCATATGATCCAGCAATTTCACTTCTAGGTGTACACCCAAAAGAACTGAAAACAGACTCAAACAGATAACTTGCACACCGATGTTCATAGCAGAATTATTCCCAATAGCTAAAAGGCAAAAGCAATTAAAATGTTCATCAACAGATGAATGGGTATACAAAATATGATATAAACGTAAAATGGAATCTTTTTCAGCCTTACAAACTGAAATTCTGACATATGCTACAACATGAGAACATTGGGCTAAGCAAAATAAGCTGGAGACAAAAGGGCAAATATTGTATGATCCCGTTTATATGAGGTATCCAGAGCAGTCACACTCATAGAAACAGAAAGTACAGCTGGGGGAGGGGGAAATGGAGAATTATTATTTAGTGAGCATGGAGTTTCTGTTTGGGATGATGAAAAAGTTCTAGAAATGGATAGTGTGATGGTTGCACAACATTGTGAATGTACTTAATGTCACTGAATGATACACTTAAAATGGCTGAAATGGTAATTCTTATGTGTATTTTACCCAAATAAAAGAAATTTTCAATAGGGTGTTAATGTTGTGTTCATTCACATACATTATTTCATTTAATATTTTGCAACCATGATGATTATTTCCTTCATTTTATAGATAAATTGAGGTCCTGAGAAGTTAGGCAATCTTCCAGAGTTCTCAGAAGTTGTACATTACAGAGTAAAGCTTAAACCTCCATCTTCCGAGGCCACGCCCAGTGCCTGGTCCATTGTAGCAGAGTGGCCCACAAACGAATATTATGTAGAGGGATGGAGCAAGGAGAGAGAGAAAAGTAGAAAGGGGGGAAAAGAGAGAAGAAAAAAGAGAGAGACATGACTGAAGTTCTTCCACTAGATTGTTTTTATTCAGAATATTTTTCAAAGGGGTAAAATAATTGTGAAAATAATCTTCCTGCATATTCACAGTTTATAGCATATCAAGACATTTTATGTTCTGATTAAATAAAAGCAAAATCCTAAAGTTCTATTTTTTTTTTAAGATTTTATTGGGGAATTGGGAAAGGGGAACATCCAAGTTGTTGTCCTTCAGTCTTAGTTGTGGAGGACACAGCTAGCTCAGCTCCAAGTCTAGTTGCCATCCAGCCGCCCATCGGCAGCTCGCGGCCGCTCAGCTCAAGGTGCCGTGTTCAATCTTAGTTGCGGGTGGGCATAGCCCACCATCCCATGTGGGAGTCGAACTGGCAACCTTGTTGTTAGGTGCATGTGCTCTCACCATCCTGCCACCTGTTGGCAGCTCAGCAGCAGCTCAGCTCGGGTGCAACTCACTAGCCCATGTGGGAATCGAACCAGTGACCCTATTGCTCAGAGTTCGAGCTCTTAACCAACTGAGTCCCTCAGCCGGCCCTAAAGTTCTTACTATTTTAAAAGACTGTGGCCAATTATAATAAATTCTGCAATAGAAATAATTGTAAATACACTCTCCTCATACAAGAATCAGACTTTCTTCCTCCTAAATTTTGGGCAAAGAAATTTACATGTTCAGCATTTGCTACATAGCCCCACAGCGGCTTAAGTCTCAATAGGCATAAAAATACTAAAACAATGGCAGTAAAAACAAATTATATCAGGTGGAAAGAAAAAAAAAATCTGACATCTAACTGCTCTGACTTTCTTAATGTCATCCCAGAAAAAGTCAACATTTATTAACTCTTGTAACCTGAAGCATTCAAGGCTTTTCACCTACTCCCTGAGTGGTAGAAGACGACTTGATTAAGAATAAATTAGTCGGCCTCGGGGTGTCAACGCAGGCGTGAGTGTCCCGCCTCGTCTCCTTCAGCACGACCCACCGGTTCCATAGCCAATCTCTGAGTAATGAAGAAAACTTGAAACTGTTTGGGAAATGCAAGAATCTCAATGGCCATGGGCACAATTATAAAGTTGTGGTGACAGTACATGGAGAGATCGATACTGTTACAGGAGTGATTATGAATTTGACTGACCTCAAAGAATATATGAAGGAGGCAATTATGAAGCCCCTTGACCATAAGAATGTGGATCTAGATGTGCCATACTTTGCAGATATTGTAAGCACAACAAAAAATGTAGCTGTATATATCTGGGAAAACCTCCAGAAATTTCTTCCTGTGGGATTTCTTTATAAAGTAAAAGTCTATGAAACTGACAATAATATTGTAGTCTATAAAGGAGAGTAGCCCCTAAGGGTTAATACTATAGAAAGATTTAGTTTCCGTGATTGAAAACTATCTTTATCCCTTTGGACTATTAAGAAGTCATCACATAATTATTATTGCACCTCCACACTGTGTTCCAGAATGCCTGATTTATTGAAATCATTGTGAATAAAACTTGTTTTAAATTCAAATCCGTTTTAAAACCAAACTTGTATCCTGGATATTATTTAGAGAGTCTTTTTATATATATTAAAAATCACTTCATTTCAGCAAAAAAAAAAAAAAAAAGAATAAATTAAATAGGAAGCTAAACAGCGATTGGCTTGCAATATGATACTTCTTGAACCAATAAGGTTCAAGACACAGTATTCTTATTCAATTAACTATTAATGAGTTATCATCCAAGAGCAAATTAAATTCAAATCAACCCACATATCAAATTCAAAATTTGAAATAAAAAAAATCTCTCTTTAGAGTCAATTAGGGGTTAAAATGAATGACTTTACCTTTCTACTCTTCCCAGTTTATGCTTAAATAACTATCACCCATTTGTTTCTCCAAGACTCCCCAGTTCATAGCGCACAGAGGTTCATCAATCTCCCTAAACTGCTGTCTCCTCATTTTATTTTCCCAACACTGCTCAGACAATATATTCTTTTTTAAAATATTTTTTTATTGGGGAAGGGGGGATGGGAACAGTGCTGGGGAATTGAGGGAAGGGGAACAGACAAGTTGCTGTCATTTTGTTCTCCAGTCTAGTTGTGGAGGACATTGCTTCACTGGCCCAAGTTGGCACCATCACTGCGCTCTTCCCGGGTTAGGCAGATCAGTCGCCGGCTTCTGGACAGCCATTCACTGCGGCTGCTGGCCGCTCACGCTGGCTGCTGGCTACACACGGTAGCCCATGGCAACCCACTGCCACAGGGGCTGCAGCCTCTGCCATCGCCAGCGACTCACGGCAGCCCAGCTCCAGGTTGAGCTGTTGTTCAGCATCTTAGCTGTGGAGGGCAGTGTCACTGGCCCTCATATGTGGGATCCGAACCAGGGCCCTCTGGCGTCCCAAGCCAGCTCTTAACCATCGCGCCACTCGGTCGGCCCTCACACAATATATTCTGAATAACATTCCCCCCACCCCAAAAAAAGAGAAATTCCAAGTCAAACAACAAAAAGAAATGCAGCCCATAAATGCTTCCTGCGAAGGAAAGATGGGAAATTACACGGGCAAGAACCAACCCACACCACAAATGTCAATTACGCTTCTGAGCCCATTTGAGGAAAGCTGTTGAGAATAGATAAATCCTATTGTTCCAACCTAACAAGAGATCTAGGTATTATTGAAGAAAGTCAATTATTTCTCAGTTTCAACCTATATTAATTTTTAGAAAGAGGCATTAAACAGGCCAAATTTTTAATGTACTTGAAAAACAAAGACATCATTAGATACCTCTTAGAAGGTGTATCTTAGAAACAGCCTTCTTTTGGGCCGGCTGGGTGGCTCAATTGGTTAAGATTGCGAGCTCTGAGCTGCAGGGTCGCCGGTTCGATTCCCACATGAGGCAGTGGGCTGCGCCCGAGCTGAGCTTCCACTGGGCTGTCTATGGGTGGCAGGATGGCTCAGCTGGTGGGAGCGCGTGCTCCTGGCAACGGGGTTGCTGGTTTGACTCCTGCATGGGATGGTGGGCTCTGCTCACCCACAACTGGGATTGAGCATGGCACATTGCGTTGAGTGGCCGTGAGCTGCCGTCGGGTGGCCAGATGGCAACTAGACTTGGAGCTGAGCTAGCTGCGCCCTCCACAGCTAAGATTAAAGGACAAAAACTTGGCTGTCCCCTTTCCCAATTCCCCAAAACTGTGACCCTTCCCCAATTCCCCAATAAAAATCTTTAATAAAAAAAAATAGCCTTCTTTTGAAGACAGAACTAGAAATGGTGTTAATCAAGGCCATCTGAAACATACTCTTGTCCCTTGCTCTATACATAAGTCTTTACTCCTCAGTTTATGAATTACATGCCTATAGGTTATAAAATCAAAATTATAAAAATATAAATATATCCATCATCCCCAAAAGTTTCTCCTGCCCTCTTTATGTACCATTCTTTTGCATATATGTCATAAGAACATTTAATACAAGATCTACCCTTAGCCAAACTTTTAAGTATACACTGTTTAACCATAGGCGTTACGTTGTTCCACAAGTATATGCTTATCTCCAAACTTACCAAGTAGTACACATTAAATATGTGTAGCTTTTTGTCTGTCAATCATATTTCAATAAAGTGGATTAAAAAATATATATATATAAATTTAAAAACATTTTATATATAAAATGTTTTATGACATAAAATCTTTTTACAAAGCACAGATCTATTTTCTTAAGAAAAAAAAAAAAAAAGAAAGAAAGAAAGACATTCCAAACATTCCCCCATCTAGGCAGTACTTGTGACTCAGTGGGATAGAGGAAAAAAGTCACATATTTCATCTCTTTGATATGGGAACAATC